CCCGGCGTGAAGAGCCAGCCGTACGTCTGCGAGACGGGCCACTGCTGCGGCGAGACCGGCTGCTGCATCTACTACTACGAGCTCTGGTGTAAGCGGGGGGTGGGGAACGGGGGGGGGACGGGCGTGCGGCGGCGGCGGCCTCATCATCATCATCATCCCCGCGCCTGGCTCACCGCCCGTCCTCCCCGCAGGGTTCTGGCTGCTCTGGACGGTCCTGATCCTGTTCAGCTGTTGCTGCGCCTACCGGCACCGCCGCGCCAAGTTGCGCCTGCAGCAGCAGCAGCGGCAGCGCGAGATCAACCTCATTGCCTACCAGGGTGCCTGCAACCCCCCGCCGCCCTCCGCGGGGGACCTCCGTGAGTGGCTCGCCCTGCGCGCCTGGGAGGGGGGGCATCCTCACCCCCCCTGCCCGGCCCTGAGCTCTGCGCCTCTCCTCCCTTGCAGGGATGCTGGCCTCCTTCAAGCTGCCGGCCTACGATGAGGTGGCCTGGCGCCCCGCCACGCCGCCCCCCCCGTACAGCGCCGCCGTCCTCCTCCTCGGGGGCTCCGGCTCCCTGACGCTGACCGGCAGCTCCGAGAACTCCTCCAGCTGCTCCTGCGAGTCCAGCTGCTTGACCTCCCCCAGCAGCACCTCCCTGTCGGCCACCGAGGCCAGCAGCCCCAGCGAAGGGGAGGCCGAGGGCGACGGGGGCTGCGGCCGCCCCGCGGGGGACAGCTGGGAGCGGGCGGCCCCGCCGGGCAGTCCTTTGGCGGCCGCCCCCCCCAAGCACGCCCTCTTCTCCTCCAGCGTGGAGCTCTTCGAAAGCGACTCGCGGCGCCCCTCCGATGGGGAGGAGGGGCCCGACGCCCGGGAAGAGAGTAGCCACGCGCGGCACCGGCGCCTGACGGGGGACTCCGGGATCGAGGTGGGCCGGGGCCAAGACGAGGAAGAGGCTGCAGGCGAGGACAGCGAGGAGGAGGAGGAGGAGGAGGGTGCCCACTTGCCTGCCAAAGGGGCAGCCGGCTGTCAGCAGGGGGAGCCCTCTGAAGGGGGCGCCGAGGAGCTGCCCCCCTCACCGACGTTGCCTGTCCGAAGTGGGGCTCTTGTGCTTGGCTGCCCCACCCACCTTGGAGACTGAGCGCCAGGGCAGCCTGGCTGCCTGTTGATCACTGTGGAGGATTACCGCCTTACCCTCACTTCTCTGCCCAGCCATACGGACGTCTCCTGGGTCCTTTCCTGCTCTGCCATTACTGCTCCGCTCCCTCCTTGGGACAGGAACCCAGAGCCCTTGGCAGCAGCTAGGGCCGAGTGGGGAGCTGCTGCGTGCTGGATCATAACTATAGTGATAGCTCTGTACGTGTGTATGTGTGGTTCCTGCTGTGCTCCAGCTTTGATGTAAGGCATGGCATAGGTGAAGGCTCAGTCCCTCCCCATTTCCAGGTTGCACTGGGGTTTGCTCTTTGCATGAAGAGATGGCTGCTGCCAACACCTGTTCTGCCCTGGGAGCGGGGAGCTGGCCTTCCCGTCGGCCAGTGTCCTACCAGCACCTGGTAGCACTGTGTGCTTCTTATTAAACAGACATGGAAAATCCTGATGGAGGCACTTTCCATTGTGTGTGTGTGGGGGGGGGGAGAAAGCAATGTAACACCAGGCATTGTGTGGATCTTCTGGAGAAGCTGCCTGCCAGGTTGGTTCATCAAATGAAGCTACTCTAAACTGGGCATGGAAAACGTTCCCTTCTTACCAAACTGGGTTTAATGTGCCAACCAGCACACACTTCTTACCTTTGCCCAGTTTAAATATCTTTGACATGGTCATCCTTTTAAACCTCCCTTTCTCACAAGATGGGACTTCTCCCAAGTCTTGCCTCCCCACCTCTGGCTAAGTTCAAGTGCACAGAAGGCAAAGTGCCAGCTGGACAGCACAAATCAGTGAGTTGTGCTTTATGGGCTTCAGAGATTGTGTGGAAGAGCAGCTGCTACTCGTTAAGCCCTGGCAGTGCGGAGGCTTTTATCTCTTGGTGGGAGCAGTAACACACCCCATTTCTATAGGGCCATACGGAGTAGCCTTTTCACCACCCCCTCCTGTTCAGCCATTCAAAAACTAGCAATGCCTTTCTTGCCCATGCTTCCAAAGGAAGGGAGCTAAAACTTTTAGGCTCTCGGCTTTATTTCAATATGAAATTTCTTACATTTAGGCATTGCCCACCAGACTCTCCGAGTTGGAATGCCAACCCCTGAAGCAGGGCAGAGGAAAAGGTCAACGCCTGTGTCCCTTTGCCAGAACCCCGCATTGGCCACTCCAGCCGAGCTGCCCAGGGATGCAGGCCCACCAGCAGGCCGATCAGTATTCTTCTGCCATCATGAGCACAACCAGAGCTGACCAGCCTGTGAAGGGGTAACACCCTTGCCCCCGGCCTGTGCGGTCGTTATACTGCTCCCAAACATAGCCAGAGTCCAGGTACTGCTGGAGGACGTTGCCAATGACGTTGGTGCGCAGCTCGTGGTACAGCCTGGCAGCCTCCT